AACATATCTTTTTCCATTGATCCCGTGCCGAGTTTATTTTAATTATCACAATTTACACGATGTCATTGATTTTAAGTGAACAGATTCAAAATCAAGGTTGAAATGCAAAGATTTTCTTTTACACATTATAATTCCTATAAAAATGTTGACCCTGTGTGACAAGTACAGAGAAAATATATCGTGATTATTCTCAAATTATATTTAACTGGATAATATACGTAACTGTACTTAAGAAGATGTTCTTTAAACCCACAACGATAGTGTCATGAACACATAGGCGTATGGTACCCCCCACCACCACCACAATGTTCGCCCTTACGCGTGGAAAATCTGTTATTAAAATTCCAAAATTCACTAATATTGCAAATTTGGTTGAACGCGATATTGTGAAACGTTTCAGGACAACTGCGTGACACGTCAAGCTAGAATTCTAGCGTGGTAGAATCATCTTCAGTGTCGCCGACGTAGTGGAATATATAAAGAAGAGCAAGATGTTGACTTCTAGAAGACATTCAACACAAAATGTATATTCTTTTGCGAAAATACGGGGAGGGCAGCTTTTTTCGAATTCATGGCCTAAGTTAGTTTAGTTAAAAAATTAAGTATTTTTACATCGAGTTTACATCGCTACACAACGGTTATTGAATAGGGATTTCACTAAAGAAACTGCAAAATTAGTAACAACTAAATACTGACTGTGGTAGGTCGGCGTTGCCGGGTTGTATTTTCATATTTATTTCTAGACTTGCATTGATATCTCGGCGAAAGCAGTTGAAATCCCCCCATGTAAAATGCGAATGTATTGAGTATCCGTCTCCAAGCTCATTTAGCTATAAGTCAAGTTATCACATATTAGTATTTTTGAGAAAAATTAATTAGATTACTGTGCGGATAGATTGTCAGAAAATGTATTTACATGTTTCCGTGTCTGTATTTTATTTAATAGTATCACAATTAGCCAAATATGATGCGTCATGCATGCACTGTTGTGGTAGCGGTTGGTTGGGTGACTGGTCTGACTATGTTACAATATCACGATTACGTGTTTATACACACGTACTCATATCTATATAAATAAATACAATAATATATCTAGTAGTTTATCTCGTTATATAATTGCAAAATGCTATTAATAGACCTGTAGTGCGTACAAACGTTTTTGCATACCTATTATTCAAAAACAAATAGGCGTTTAAGTTGAATGTGGTTGAATTTGGTCATGTAGAGCACTTGTCTGGTTCCGTTTAGTTCAATGTAAATGTCACATACCATGATTATTATATTATAACTACGTAATATATGTATACAATGATTGAAATTTCACATTTTAGTCTTCTGATAAAGATATATTTCGCATAACTTACCTATCACTTCGACTTTCTTGATCGAATATGAACGTCTCTGCACGTCTGTGTTGATGCGTCCTGGTAGGAAGAAAGATTCGTTGTGAAGTGAATGTGTACCAGTGTTGTAACTTTTAGTTCTATGGTAACTTGAAGTGTAATATATTGATTTATTGGAATAATGGGAGGGGTTTATAGAGTAAGTGATTTAACTTCACTTTTCCTATTTCATTCACGATAAACTATTTCACGAAAGATTCGTATTTCTACCCAATATCCCAAATATTCCGGTCTAAAAATAGAATAGATTTTTTTAGTCCAAGCGGCAGACCTCTAAATAAATGTTATTTTTAGTCGTGTGTAGGATGAGTTGTTTCGTTGGTAACTGTGTTTTTCACTGCGTTCAAATGCTAGATACGATATTAATAACTTACGTGGCACAAATGATCCAATTGTTCGTTGAATTAAAGTCATTTATTTTATTTTTTTATTCTCTTTAGGAACCCCTTTCCAACGTATTTTCCAACCCTGAATACTGTGAATATTTTCTCCTAGTTTATTTCTAAGGAAAATTCATTCATTGTGTGAATACATATCTTCCATCAAAGCCAATACTCTTAATTAATTTCAAAATCTTACATGTCTTCAAGTTATTGCTAAAAGAAAATTCTCTTTTTAAAAAAAAAATATTTCCCTACCCTAAAAATAATAGAAAATCCGTAACCGTGCCTAAACTTTGACAATGTGTCCCTGTCCTCAAGAAAAAATAGTTTGTTATTGCATCTGGTAAGCTGTCAGGATCTTCGCTGCTAGTTAATCAATATAGGCGGCTGCGCTGTCATGTTATTATCATTGCATTTATTTTCTTATGCAAAGTATTATACTGCCTGAGGTCGATATCAAGAAATACCCCCTCTTCCACACACACACACACACACACACACACAACGCCCCACCCCAACGCCATATGTCCTGGCATTGACCTCAGTGACAGTTGTGAGAAATAAAAGATTGTCGAAATTTTTACGAAATAAGGGTGGCCCTAATATTTCCATGTAATTCAGATGAAAGATGTAAATTTTAAACATGATTTACTATACGAGTTGCAGAAAGTATCATTTGGGTTTTACCCAATCAACGACAGTGACCTGAAATGGACAATTCACACCTGTTTCACACTGAGATGTATGTGTCACTTCTCTGTAGTCCAGCCATTTGAGTACGGGCGTTTATATGATTTTCATAACCAGGTGTCTTTTGATTGAGTGAGTGAGTGTGTGAGATTGTGGCCCACAATACAACAGATCTACAATTCACAATTACCAACAGCCACAGCCTGGCCCACCAGTTAGTTCCTCACAAAATAAATACCCCCCTTGTTGTATGACAACACAAGGCAGGCGCAATCGCTATTATTTTGCGTTGTCAAGAATTGGCGTCAACGTCATATTTGTAAATAGTTACCACACAAAGTAATTTAAGACAACAGTATAAACTTATTAATATATCATATACTTGACTGTGTTGTAATCTCGAATCACGTTTAGTAACCTGTGTTGCAGCTACACTATTTGTTCACGAGTATTCAGTATAAAACAAATACTAAAAATATAAAATAAAATGATGGTGGACTTTGAGTCGATAAAGTTTGAATTATACAAACTTAAACTTAGACCGGGGTCGGGTGTGTCGCTCGTTCTGGTGTGTCACTGGCTTAAATCTAAATACCACACACAATGGCCTTACTAAGGATCTGACTTAACTTCTTACACGTCGCGAGTCAGTGTGTCATATGGATTAATAATTTGATATATCACTTACCTAATGATCGGATTTCTCTGGCGAATAATAAATTCTTCGGTTTAACTCAGTAAGTCTGAGCGTGTTGGTGAAATTATAACTGACGGTTAAGTGACTATGGGAGGGCCTTTGTAACTTGAAGTGTCGTATATTGATTTATTGAAATATAAGGGGTATGTGCAGTGCGTCGTCGGGTTGCGTAGTTTGCATGTTGTCGCTCTTGTTAAAATAGTTATAGAGTCGTCTTCAAGGATGCCCCTAGTTTAGTAGTCCAAAACAATCTTAATACTATAGTATTCCCCATCCTATGCGGGATCGACTGTTCGAAAACGTGGTTATATTTATAATCACGTTATTGTTACAATCATCATTGGATAGAGGCATGGGGTAATGCGTGATGATAATAGCATTAATCATAATAAAGTGTTTGTGGTCATATTAATATTAAATTTGAATTGAGGGTTATCACGAAAACAGCGCAAAGTATCACAATACAGTGAAACTTCCGTCGAAGTTACCATATTACCTCTATTTCCTGAACAAAAAAGTATATTAAAAAGTCTGAAAATAACATAAGTAAATATACCAGTCCAATAAGTCTCGCCCTCTTGCAATGAAGTGATCCAATCTAGATACTTTTAAACTTTATTTTTCATCATTATTCTTGACAGTGTCGTTATTTACTTCTTTTTTTTTATAATTTCCGTAATGTTATAAATACAATGTATTAAATTATTATTTGGTGAATAAACGTATTTTTATGTGAACGATGCTGCTTATACTCAATAGGTTGTGTTGACGTCTCAGAAACTATTTTCATTTTTAGCGGGCGGACAGTTGTGTTGCAAAGCCATAATACAACGTATTGTGTTTTTAGTTTTTGTCGTAGATGACGCTATAGTTAGCACTGTCACCTCTCCCTTCTCAATATCGTTGAGCTCTACCTCGATTGTTTGAAGCTGATTGAAGGAGCTGAGAAGATGTGGGCGTCGACGACATTTTATTGTGCGTACGTCATATATTGTTAGCCTAATGTAACAATGAGTATTGTATATTCAATTAATTATAATGCATTAAGTACTTTTTACATAAACACAACACAAATTTACAAGACAGCTAAATTATTTGTGTTTATTCAATTTCGTTTTTCACACCAGCTGTGTTGCGTTCAATACTTGTTACGGGGTGTTTAATCATCATAATTATAATCCCGCGAAAATAAATCACCGTAACGAAGTATGAATTCTCAACAGCCTGGCTCAGTTATAAGTTATTCACCAACACGTATACACGAACCAAGTAATCATAGCTTTATTACCAAGAATATTATATATCGTTCATTGATATATAATTTCTAAAATATGTATATATATTTGTAGTCAAATAAAAGTCAGCAAGAGCTGTCGGAATACTGAATTGTGCAATTTTGAAGAAAATAAATTTCGCTATTATAAGGAATGGTTATTAATGTTTCCACGGACGATATAGGATTTTTTATTACTTTTTTGAAAAATCAAGAAAAAAGTGAAAATTTCCCTTCTCGCTACCTTAAGGTGAGACGTATAATGTTGAAATGTGAACGATGCGTTGATTTCACAATTTGTTAGGATTTCCAGTCTTCAGATCATAGTGCAGTGCAGTATCAAAGCTCTGTATTTAGTTATCAATAATATATTGAAGGTATGACTCAATAAAGAGTCTGAAATAGAATGTTTTATTGACAAACTACACTAAGTCAATTATGGAAAAAATACAACCATATCCCGTAAACTACAACAGGGAAATAATAAAGCGCCCTCTTGTGTTCACAATATCAAAACAACAAAGGAGTTGTGAAATTACAACAAACAGACCGAGATTTTATTTCTTTCTCAAAGTGTGAATTTGTCACGTTTCCTTCTTTTCGTAATTAAGTCGACTAGGTACGAGATTTAACAACAACAAAACTAATTAATCCAATTTGGTTACAATCTAAGACGACCAGAGGTTTGCTGTGAATCCACAGGATGGATCGTCGAACTCGTAAGAGAGTGAGAGAAGCGAAAAAGGCTGCCCGTCCAGGTAGGCAACTCTGACGAATTTTGTCAATTGACTATAATCAGAACTGTTATTGACTGTGAAAACATTTCCTGGGATGTTCTCATGATCCGCACACCAGCTTAAATGCACTTACGGGTTATGTTTTATTCATGGGCGATACTTTATTGGGATGGACAATCAGTGTCTATGAATTGTCAACAAAAAATACAATCACCAAAATGTAACAAAGTCATAGTATTATGTTTTCATTGCAAACCCGTTATTGTCGACGCTCTTACTGGATCGATACGGCCTTGGTCGGATACAATACTACTAGACTGCAAATAGGATAATTATTATTTTTTAATCAATTATATATAGATTGTTTAAAATGGAGTTTTCTGATAGGTTCAGGCATTTTACATAGTATAGAAAAATGGGACTGTATAATCTACATTCAAAGAGGTACATGCATATGAACGCTATACCCATCAATCTGATTAAAGTTGTTTTAAACATATAATTGTTTGACCTTATGTAAATGATTCTAACTACATACATAAAACCATAAACAAAATAGTAGAAATTGTAAATTAAAAAATTACACAAAATATAAAATGAATTAAAACTTAAAATTATTTCCCATACAGGTTTTTAAATGGTGTGACAGTGAACATGTACTATACATGTATTTCAGACAACCATATTCATTTCACATATGTTATTAAAAAAAAAAAAGTAAAGATAGTCTATATGTACATGTAATTATTTAGTATTCCATAGTATTTTGTATTGCTGATATTAAATTCTGATAGAAAATTATACAGTTATATTACCATCCAGTATTATTATTTTGTTAAAAAAAGATCAGTTTGAAACTTTGCTGCTTACCTGTAGATATTCTAGTTGACCAGTAATTTGTAATAGTTGTTAAGAATAAAAATCAATGAAAATTGTTAGTAAACTGCATTTTCATGCGGAAAACAAAATAGACAATCGGGTATTTTTTTTAATTTTGACACCTGTATATAAAAATATGTGCCATGAAAATAATTTATTTCATATGCAAATTACACCATTGGAAAAATGTGCAATAATTTGCTTTTATATCCCAGTGAATTATAAAATGTTTTTATTTGTGAAAATTGTGAAGTATACATACATGTATGCCCAAGGTGTGTTCAATGTTTATGTATATCACATGTAGTTATATTGATAAAGACATGAAATTATGGCTGACAAAAATTAACATCACATTTAAATCTATTAATCTTTATCAGTAATGGAAAAAAATATATTCTACACTTTTCCTTTCCAATAACCAAAAAAGAGGGTGGTTGTATTGTCAGATATTGGTATTATGTTGTGCAAAAAGAGTACTCGTATATCAATCTGAATTGCGAATGTTTGTGTAGAAACAATTAAAAGAATAACTGAAATACATGTATATGAATGACCATTAAGACAAGTCTCATGTATGATAAGGACATCATAAACTGGATTACTACCCTTGCTGCTCCAGTCTTACTGCTTATGCACTCTGGTAAACTTGGGAGTTACCACCTCATAAACCTACGTTAACTTGATTGATTGAACAGCCTGCATATTCCTGTCATTTGCAATTATGTTATTAGTGCTAATTTAATTATTAACCCTGAATGAATGGATGAATTAACTATTAAAGTATACATGTATCTGTTTTGTTAATTCACAGATGTCCTATAATTTCACTAGTCACTAGTTTACAATACATGTTGTGTTTACATGTACATGTAGAGCCAGCTTAATTTTCATACTTTAATCTCAGATTTCTTTACTTCAATACCCAAATTAAACACCAGAATACATTGTACATGTATGTGTACTATTAAAGTTTTTCACATGTAGCTGCAATAATAAAGCATGTTTTCTCTATTTATTTGTGTGAATCAGTTACATCACCAAGCCATGCATTGATATCACCACTTTCTCTGACATCACCATGTTGCTCAGTTACATCACCAAGCCATGCATTGATATCACCACTTTCTCTGACATCACCATGTTGCTCAGTGACATCACCAAGCCATGCATTGATATCACCAATTTTCTCTGACATCACCATGTTGCTCAGTGACATCACCAAGCCATGCATTGATATCACCAACTTTCTCTGACATCACTATGTTGCTCAGTGACATCAACAAGTTATGCAGTGATATCACCAACTTTCTCTGACATCACCATGTTGCTCAGTGACATCACCAAGCCATGCATTGATATCACCAATTTTCTCTGACATCACAATGTTGCTCAGTGACATCACCAAGCCATGCATTGATATCACCAACTTTCTATGACATCACCATGTTGCTCAGTGACATCAACAAGTTATGCAGTGATATCACCAACTTTCTCTGACATCACCATGTTGCTCAGTGACATCAACAAGTTATGCAGTGATATCACCAACTTTCTCTGACATCACCATGTTGCTCAGTGACATCAACAAGCCATTCATTGATATCACCAACTTTCTCTGACATCACCATGTTGCTCAGTGACATCACCAAGCCACGCATTGATATCACCAACTTTCTGACATCACCATGTTGCTCAGTGACATCAACAAGCCATGCATTGATATCACCAACTTTCTCTGACATCACCATGTTGCTCAGTGACATCACCAAG